GTGAAACAGGATTCGATTCGATCGAGTGGAAGAATCCGTGTGGGACGATACGCGTGCTCGAGTCTGTTGCTCGCGAGGTTGGCGAGGCTTCGGCTGTCAAAACAGCGACTGGTACACTGATGGATGACGGGGAGGATACAGGTAGTGACGTTTCAATCGGAGGCGATAATCAGAGGTTGGTAAGACGGAGAAACGACTGCTTGCTCTGGAAACACGTTCTCACACGGCCAGCAGGAATTCCTGAGGACCATGGCCGGCGGTGTCAGGGGGTCAAGCACCGACGCAGCCAGCGCAAGAAAGAGGAAAGAGGGAAAGAAGAGCGGAGAGAAGTCGTAAAGAAGTCGCAGGGATGGCGAGCAGCCGCGGCTCCAACGACAGATAGAGATTTGATTCCGATTAGGGCGCTGGTTTTTTAGCGCAGCACGAGTTAACAGAGGACCGAGTATGATCCATGCACGTCGGCAAGAATCAGGGATATCGCGTTCCAGGGCCTCGAGATCCGACCGGCTGTATCGAGTTTCGTGCCTCTTCGTGCACTTTTTGGCTCCTTTCCCTGCTCTGTCCCACCGCCATCTCTCCTGTCTCTCCTCTCTCTGTCCCTTTTGCGCTCTTTTTCTCTCCAGCTTCTTCTTCTCTGTCCTCTTTGCTTTTTCATGCTTGGCCAGCGACGGAGAACCGAGAACTATCGGCGTTACCTAGACCGTACGCGCTATCGCTTTTTCTCGGCCTCGTCGTTACACACACGGGCGAAAAGCGACGCGCAAACAGACAACCAACGACGAGAAAATGGAGGCCCGTTGAAACTTCGCCAGGCTTGGTTAACCCGGCGTTCTTTCGCTCAGATTATTCTATTCCTTTCGATATGAAGAGAACTCTACCTGTGTCACAGTCTTCAGCGACATACCAGAGAATCGTTATCGATACGCGTGTGAATTCTTCTTTCGATTTGAACACGTTAACACGTTGACTGCCACGCGCGTTTTCACTGAAATCTCCGTCAGAGGCCACGCGTGCTGCTGTGCTAGAGCTACTCCCATCGATATTTCAGTAATGCGAGTAAATCATATTTTCAATAAACCAATTTTCATATTACTCAGATCGTGATAATTGTAGCTGCTGTGGCGTGGATGTCACTGCTGGTGTACCGCTGCTTTTCTTCTCATTTTTTCGTGGAAGAAAATTCGCACTAGGAAAATTCGGAAAATTCGGGATTTGAACCCGAGACGACCCGAACCGTTCGTAACCTAAGAAGCTAACCACTGCGCTACCGTCGTTCGACGCTAGTTAGTGTCGTCCAATGGTACTTGTTATCAAGTTATTTTTATAACAATTCGATAGTTTTATTATTTCCTTTGGAATATCTTCTCAAAAACCTACGACGATCCTTCGCAAGTAGTCGAATAAGCGCCACCCGAATACGGGTGACGCGGTCCTACCGGAAACTTTGTCGTGGCAGTAAACGTGTTTTAAAGGCGTTTTTGCCGGTGATAGAACCGCGACATAAAATTTCGAGGATCGCGCCGGGGTTGAGTTAACCGGGTAGAGCTGGTTCTGACGACCGCGGTGAAATAGTCGACTGGAAACGAAAAGTCATTTGCCAAAGGTGTGGAGGGTTCGAGAGAACCGCCGAGCAGCAGACAGAGAGAAAGAGAGCCGCCGTTTCGGCGTACGCGGTCGCGTGCTCGAAAGTGGATAATCGAGGCTCGATTGCGCACCGAGATGCCGGCCTCGAGGTTAAGAAGCAGCATGTTACTTTTCAATCGCCGTACTCGCCTCTAATTCGAGGCCGGCGTTCCATCCACTTCCGGCGAGTACGCGATCGTCCGTCTTCGCGTGAAACGATGGCCAACAGTTTCGAAAGAAACCGTCGACCATGGGAATCGTTAACCGCGAAAAAAGAACGCCGCCGAAAGAATTTAACGGCAAGAGGAGAGAGTTTCGTGCAGCCAGGCTGATGTTTTGCAAAATTTCCAGGAATTTTTTAGTGCCCCGGAGGGCAGCCTGGACACGACGACATAATTAAATATCCGCGTGGTAATTAACGAGCTAGACCAAGACGCCATTAGCCGATCGTTGAACCGAGTCACGAGAGACACGCGAAAAAACCAGCCGACGCGACCCGCGTACTCTACCCCGTGCGAGTATGTCGGCCAGTTTTACGACTGTTGGGGGTGGAAACACCGCCGCACGCCAGCGGCAACCCCTTCCCTGCGCCAATTTTTAATCTTTAACCCCTGTGTGTGGATAACCAATTTCTATATTCCCTTGGACAATCGTTAAACGTTCTATGACAAAGTATCGCCAGACGTTTCCTTCTCGTTTCCTTAGACAGTTTCACGTCGATTCGCGAGAAAAATTTACGCGAAATATTTTGTATAACGAAGCACGACAAACTTATTTATACCCACGCTTTTTACACAAGCGGTTAACCGGCTACCCCGTACACTTATCCCATACGGAGTAAATTATGGTTGCAGTTACGAAGGGAAGTTTTACGAGATTATACAAAGTGTCGCGTTCCGGGGCTACTTGTTTATTAGCATCCAAACTACGAATTATAATCATTAACGCAATAATTATTACGCATACACACATATATATATGTATTATATAGCAATTATCGATAGAATAAATTACAATTACCAAGCAGCGACGGAGGAGGCAAGGTGAACGCGTAGCAATGCGTGTCACGCACGTATGCGACTTCATCGTGAAATTGTATCGTAATTTCCAGTGACTTTTCACTCGGGCGGATACGTCGAGACGGTACTCGTTACGGTAAGGGAAAATTGAGAGTAAAATTATCGCTGTACACGCGGTGTTTCGCGAATAGCACGTTCGAACATTTTCGTCGATTACACCGAGGGTTAACGTGCAAAAAAGGAAAAATCCAGATTCGAGTAGGATCGGCCGCGATAAAGAAGCTTCCTTTGGCTTTATCTATCGATCGATCAACTGGAAATCGAGTGTCTCTTTTCACCGAAAAGCGAGAAGAATTCGGCGAAGACGACGATAAGATACAGGTTACGTGCCGTGGGTGTATTTGCCTAAGCAAACGTAACGATATCTTATCTGTAAATTCGGCCAGCACCCTGCACGATCTTGCCGAAAGAAACGGAATAATTCCAACCACACCTTCCAATGTACAGGACTTGTATAGAGGACGTTTGATCGTGAGATTTATTAAATATTACTGCTTCTTGTTGAACCATACAATATATTTCAAATAATAAATTAGTATACTGGCTATATTCGCCGAGACGCTCGTAAAATGTAGAAGTCGTAAAATAGGACCGTTAATTAGATCGCTGATAATTCCTTGATAACTGGTTGATAACTGATCGACTACTGACTATAACTCCGCAGTTCTAATCTCAAAAAAAAAAGAACACGCCCGAAACACCGGAAAATGGAAATTATTACGACTACAGCGCGCGGATTTGAAACTGGAACGCACGCGACCCGAACCAACGAAATATCGAAAACACATGGACGTCTGAACTATCGGGTTGTCTTCGAACTGTCTTTCGTTTTACGAGCAAATAACAGACGCACGGTGTTTTTTCTTTTATATTATTTTCTCGAATTACGTACGATCGATTTTATTCTCTTGGGATAAAGAGCGCGACATTTCACACGCTTGACTTCGCGTTGTAAAAGACAGGTTTGCGAAAGAAAGACAATCCGATAGTACGTTGTTTTCTGTAAATACTCGCTTCGGTAAGGACGCTTCGTTACACCGTGGAAAATGTGAATTCGCATTGAAAATTCGCAATGCGGTAACGAAGCGTACTTGAGAAACGCTGCTGACAAAAACGACAAAATGATTACACTTACTGTGAGCGTAATGTGCGGCGGCTGCGGGGTGATGGGCGGTTGGTCCTGCGTGGGGGTAGTAACCCCTGTAATCGGTGGGATTGCCGACGACTCCGGCGACTCCTGCGCCCCCCGAGGGCGGCTCCAGCGTGGACCTAGGGGGCTCGTACCACCTAGCCGCGCTCGACTCGCTGCTCATGTCCATCCTGTCGAGAATGCTGTTCTTGCGACTAGCGGAAGGGTGAAAGGTCGACGATCGGATCGTTGAGAGGGGGTTGCTCCAGCAGGGGGAGAACCAGGAAGGATGCACGGGGGTAGGGGGACGCGAGGGGGAAGGGAAATGGAAAGGGGATTAGGAACGCTGCCAAAAACGCCTCTCTGCCGGAAGCGTGGTCCTACTGAAGACGCTCGGCCAGGTCATAGGTGATCCTGGCGCTTCGTTCACGATCGCGAGGAAAATCTGTCTCTGACCCCGCCTTCTGCAACGACAAAGAAGAAAATGCGTGTGCGATTAGTGGACGCAGTGGAAAGGTACGTACACAGCGTGGTCCGTAAGTTAGTCGCTCGCTTCGTTCGTGGCAACGTACATCGATTTTCTTGCTCGTCCGCAAGCGATTTTACGAAACTACGTAACAGCGCGTATCGCGAAACGAAGCGAGGCATTGTCGCGGAACGTTGAAATTGCGCAAGGTCAAAGCTGCCGTACGTCGTTTTGTCGAAAATTACTAACTCCGCTCCGGCTGCTACTAAAATAAAAACATGTCATTCGCGGGTTACGCAACGCGAACATCACCGAAACTGGAGACGTGGCCGCCGAAAAGCACGCGATCCGGTTGCGAACAGTCGGTTCGTCTGGTTAGGCGAAGACACGGGAACGTCGCTGTTTTCTTCTGCAAATACGCGCCAGGATGCACGCGAATTTCGTGAAAAGGAGCGAGATAACCAGAGAGAAAAGGCACTAGCAGCGCGAACAACCGATCTAAGATGGTAATCGAATGTTGGTCGCGCTGGCGTCGATCGACCGGCCAATTTCCACGGCTCTTCCTTCCGGCCGGCGGCGGCGGGTC